GATCCCAGGACCCCGGGATCACGACCTGAGCCGAAGGCAGACGCTTAACGACTGAGCCACCCAGGCGCCCCTAAAAAGGACTGGTTTTCTACTGTTTTAACTGTAATGGTTGAACTGTAGAATAGTAAAATCAGCCTCGTTTTCCTTTCCCTTTTAATTTCTTTATTTTATTTTATTTTAAAGATTTTATTTTTATTTGACAGAGAGAGAGCACAAGCAGGGGGAACAGCAGGCAGAGGGAGAGGGAGAAGCAGGCCCCCTGCTCGGCAGGGAGCCCAATATGGGGCTTGATCCCGGGACCCTGAGATCATGACCTGAGCCGAAGGCAGATGCTCAACCATCTGAGCCACCCAGGTGCCCCTCCTTTCCCTTTTTAAATGGTGTGATTATATTCAAGCTTGTAGAACAGCCTTAGGATTTGAAAACTAGGGTTATTAGCGGAGAGAAAGTTCTCTTAAGATAGTCTTTATAGTAGAAGGAATTTTTGAGAATTTGATTGTTACATGTTTTCTTCAATTTTTATAATGCTCTCTTAGGAGGAATTTGTTTTTTTCTATTTTACTTATTCTGAAATAGCTATTGCCTCTTGTTTTTCTTTTTCTCAAATTAGCATCAGAGAATGAATATGAGAAAAACAGAGATGAATTGAAGAAAAAGAAAGCTCCTGGTCCAGGCAAAGTAAGTACTTTAGCCATAATCTTCACCTCTCTAGAAGTAAAAGTGAATCCCCTTGTCATAGACCACATTCAGAAGAGTGAATTTTTAAGGATTGTCTTAGCAGAGTTCCCAACTGCCTAATACTCCCTTTTCTAGAAGTCTGGGCTCTCTTTTATTTTTGAATTTTTATGTTTTGAATTCTCTGTTCTTTTCTCCATCCACACGGTTCCCTATAACTCCACATATACCTCTTTGATTAATTGTCAATCTTTGTTCCTATCCTTTTATGCCATACAAAGACATTTTAAAGTTTTAAAGATTTATTTATTTGACAGAGAGAGACACAGTGAGAGAGGGAACACAAGCAGGGGGAGTGGGAGAGGAAGAAGCAGGCTTCCCGTGGAGCAGGGAGCCTGACGCGGGGCTCGATCCCAGGACCCTGGGATCAGGACCCTGGGATCATGACCTGAGCCGAAGGCAGATGCTTAATGACTGAGCCACCCAGGTGCCCCTGAATAATATATTCTTATTTGACTATTTTTATTACACAGAAGATAGAATGTAATGTGCTGTATTCTACATCAGGATTTATTTTTTTTAACTTACTGTGGAAATCACTGTGTATCAGTATACTAAGAGCTTCCTACTGTACGGATGTACTCCACTTAACCAGTTCCCTATAGGTGGACACTTGGGTTGTTTCTAGTCTTTTATTATAACAGTGCTATAATGAATAATCTTGTGTATACATAATTTTGTGTGGATACAGTAAGTTCCCAAAAGTGGGATTGCTAGATTGTGTCAGGAGGTCCCAAGACCCTCAGGCTAGGTAATTCACAGGAGGCCTCACAGGACTCAGCCTGTGGTTGTACTCATAGCTGTGATTTACTAGAGTAAAAGGATACCAAGTACAGTCAGCAAAGGGAAAAGGCACGTGGAGCAAAGTCTGAGGAAACCAGGCGTAAGCTTCCAAGAGTCCTTTTTCATTGGAATCACACAGGATGTGCTTAATTCCCCTAGCAATGAGTTGTGACAGTTTATGAAATGTTACTAACCAGGGAGGCTCATTAGAGACTCAGTGCTCAGGATTTTTATTGGGGACTGATCACATAGGCACCTTCTGCCTGGCATGCCCTCAAATTCCATTCTCCCAGAAGGAAAGTAGATGTTCAGCATGAACCATATTGTTTTTATAGACATTGTAGGCATAGTAAGCCACTTTTATCAGGGTAGTAGGAACCCTCCAGAAGTCCAAGTCCCCAGGTACTAGACGAGGGCCAACCTTGTAAACAGGCCTTTCAAAGGATAGCAGTCAGACTTGCCCTGTTAACTCTTTTCTGCATCTAGATCAAAAGACAGATTCCAAATTTCCCTCTATGGGGGTTATACCATTAGAACTCATACCTCTGTTAACAGCCCCTTTTAGAAAACATCACCTCACTCTCACTGGCTGAAAATCAGCTTGTTGAGGCTTTACGGCAAAAAGTCAAGGTTCAGAAAGAGAGTGTACCCCCATTTTTTGGTTACTTATGTTAAGGTAATTAATGGAAGCTTTTCTCTTAGTTTTTATTTGCTGACAGGCATAGGGACAATGATTCTTAGAGTTAAAATTCTTTAGAGTAAAATTCTTTTCTTTGCAGCTTCCAGCAACACTTTCCTCCAAATATCCAGAAGATGACCCAGACTACTGTGTGTGGGTCCCACCTGAAGGTAGATTGTTTTTATTACTTTTCTTCTCTTCTAAGACTTAATTATTTATATTTCTGAATAGGTAATGTATATTTAAGGTTCAAAATAAGAAAGTTTTTATGAGTATATAGGGGATGGGGCACCTGGGTAGTGCAGTCGGTTAAGTGTCCAACTCTTGATTTTAGCTCAGGTTGTGATCTCAGGGTCGTGAAATTGAGTCCCATGTTGGGCTCCTCGCTCAGTGCAGAGTCTGTTTGAGATTCTCTCTCCCTCTGCCCTTCCCTCCCATTCACTCGTGCTCTCTCTTTCTCTCTCTAAAATAAATAGGGGTGCCTGGGTGGCTCAGTTGGCTAAGCGTCTAACTTTGGCTCAGGTCATGATCTCAGGGTCCTGGGATCGAGCCCCACATCTGGCTCCCTGCTCAGCAGGGAGTCTGCTTTTCCCTCTCCCTCTACCACTTCCCCTGCTTGTGCTCTCTCTCTCTCTCTCTCAAATAAATAATCTTTAAAAAAAAAAAAGTCTTTTTTTTTAATCTTAAAAAAAAAAGTCTTTTTTTTTTTAATCTTAAAAAAAAAAGTATGTAGTGGGAAAGTTCTCCCTTCTAGGGGAACAGGTAGAGTAAAAGATCTGAAGAGACATATCGACCAAATATAATTTGTGGATTCTGCTTGAATCCTTATTTGAACAAACAACTATTAAAAAATTATATACCAGGGCGCCTGGGTGGCTCAGTTGGTTAAGCGACTGCTTTCGGCTCAGGTCATGATCCTGGAGTCCCGGGATCGAGTCCCACATCAGGCTCCCTGCTCAGCAGGGAGTCTGCTTCTCCCTCTGACCCTCCTCCCTCTCATGCTCTCTGTCTCTCATTCTCTCTCTCGCAAATAAATAAAATCTTTAAAAAAAAAAATTATATACCAGTCAGATAATTTTGAACACTAGCCAGATATGTGATGATACTAGGAAATTATTAATTATTTTAAAGTGTGGAATGATGTTATGTTTTTTAGAAAAAGTCCTTATCTTCTAGGACTGTGTACAGAAGTGTTCACAGATGGAATATATGGGATATGCCTTAACATAATCCTATAGAAGTAGAGGATGAGGGGCGCCTGGGTGGCTCAGTTGGTTAAGCGACTGCCTTCAGCTCCGGTCATGATCCTGGAGTCCCGGGATCGAGTCCCGCATCGGGCTCCCTGCTCAGCAGGGGGTCTGCTTCTCCCTCTGACCCTCTTCCCTCTCGTGCTCTCTGTCTCTCATTCTCTCTCTCTCAAATAAATAAATAAAATCTTTGAAAAAAAAAAAAAGAAGTAGAGGATGAGGGAGCGTGGAGGGGGTAATAGATAAAGCAGGACGTGTCACATATTGATAGTTGTTTTAGCTGGGTGATAAGTACATGGAGATTCATTATATTTTTTTCTTTACTTCTGCATGTCTTTTAAATTTTCTTTAAAGTTATAAAAACAGGGATGCCTGGGTGGTTCAGTCGGTTAAGCGTCTGCTTTTAGCTCAGATCATGATCCCCGGGTCCTGGGATCGAGTCTTGCATCGGGCTCCCTGCTCAGCGGGGAGCCTGCTTCTCTCTCTGCTTGTGCTCTCTCTCTCTCTGACAGATAAATAAATAAAATCTTTAAAAAAAAAAGTTATAAAAACAACAACTACTGGCTCTGCCTCAGCTACTTGGTGCCAAATATCACTTTCTTGTGACTTCTTATATATGTCACATAAAATGCTTGTGTGAGCAATTAAATACATAATATTTCACTGTTGTTTTTACACAAATAGAAGCATATTCTATACCTTGCTGTTTTGCACTTAACACTATGGAGATCTTTCCATAGCTATAGATTCCTTCTTCCCTCCCTCCCTCCCTTCCCTCCTTCCTTCCTTTGTAGCATAGTTCTTTTTTATGGTATAGATAATACCTTTACTTTTTATTCCATTCCCTCAATGAATATATGCTGTGTTTCCAATTTTGCCATTACAAACAACTCTGCATGTAGGGGAAGGGGTTGGGGGCTGGGGTAACTGGGTGATAGACATTAAGGAGGGCACGTGATGTAATGAGCATTGGGTGTTACATAAGACTCATGAATCACTGACCTCCGCCTCTGAAACTAATAATACATTATATGTTAATTAATTAAAAAAACAACTCTGCAATAAGTAACCTCAAACATAATACTTTTGCAAGTATAGAGGTGCATATGTAGAAAAAATCATAAAAGTTAACATGCTGGATCAGAGGCTATAAACATTTTTAAGACATTATAAATTGCATTCTGTAGAGGGGGTACAGCTTATGTTCATACATACACTCTTAAGGCAATATATGAGATGCTTGTTCCCCATATGCTCATCACAGATTGCTTTTTCTATGGATCAGGTTTCTAGTATACTAGTAGTTAATAGAAATTTTGTTACTAGAAATGTTTGCTTTTTATTGGCTAATAAATATAAAGGTAGAAATGGAAAGAGAACCAAATTTTGAAATTGTATGCAAAAAGGCAGAGTTCTAGAATAGAAGAAACCTCTTTTGTCTGTTTTACTTTTTAGCCCACTAATGTCTGGGTATCTTTTCCCTCCTGACTTTGGAAAAGTGAATGTGTTTCTTTCTTTATACTCTGATCTAGGCCAAAGTGGAGATGGCAGGACCCATCTGAATGACAAGTATGGCTATTGACTGCTTCAGAATCCTAAAGGAAGACCTTGTGGACCATGTGACATGGGATATGTAGGGTCCTATATCAAGTTGAATGTCCAGAGAAGGAGTTCAGGTGATCTTTTGTAAAATCTGGTGACTGGCCTTTTCTTCCATTCTCATGGCTCCCTAAATTTATCTACTCATCTGATTCTCGTTTAAAAGTGTTTGTGTATGTATGTAAAAAGAAACCATATATTTTGAGAATTGGTAAAGTGAGATATGACTCTATTAAAAGAGAAGGTGAAGATGTCTCATGTTTGCTTAAGGCCACAATGTCTTTCATTAAGTTTTAGGGACTATGCTTCTCCTGAGGAATAGGGTGCTTCTGGCAGCTAGACTTTAGACTTCACTCATAGGACCTCCTCAAATAAGTGTTCAAATATGAGGTCATGCCATAGTGTGACCCTGGGTGTCCCTGTCATTCCTGGAACTAAAAGTAGATACAGAGTGGGGGCTTCCTCCTCCCTCCCACTGTAATCCTTCTGCCAGGTTTGAGAACAGACCCTGATTTATCAGGACACAGTTCAGGACCATAGTACACCTTGTGCACTCAGGCACCAGTCCTGATAAAAACTCAGTCCTTTGAATGTCCTGGACTCTGACCAGTCAGATTAGTCACTCCTTCTCCTGTGGAAAGGTGCAAATAGGGTCATAGAATGAAAAGCTGGATGTGTTCTGTCCATTGTGGGGCTTCTCACTTCTGTGGAGAGGAGAATAAAAGTTCTTTCTCTCTGGAAACACAAAGAAATGTGAGAAGATGTCTTATCTCCCCCAGTGTACCCTCTCCCCGCCCCAACATTGGTGAACGCCCCACTTCCACAGGGAATGAAAGCCTAAGAGTGGAAGCAAGGTGGAGAGTTTGTGGATTAGGCAGGAGGCAGACCCAGTGAGCAGGCAGGAGAAACTCTGTGGCCCAGCAAGAGAGTGGATGAGGGTGATGTTTTCCTTTTTTTTTTTTTATATGGTGTGTGTGTATATATATATTTTCTTCATTATATGGTATATGTGAAGTAGGCAAGGAGCAGTAATGAGAAACTTCAGAACTCCCTGACAGATATGGGAAGTCTGGTCTTCTGAAAGTGATGCCTTTCATTTCTCAAAAAACAATACCAATATTGGTATTATGAGAAACTACTATTTAGGACTTCATTTAGACCAACAGGGAAGAACTTGATGTAAGAAGTGACTGGAATTCAGGGGCAGAGTGACCATTCCATCTTGGATTGAAACAGTAAGCAAAGGTCCAAGCCATGTCAGTGGTCCTCAAAGGTGAAACTCTTTATTCAGGCAAAATCATATGTGGGATCCTTAGGTTTGAACAGGTAAAAATATATCTACTCTGGTTAAGTGTGGGCACGGAAATGGGATCGATAGATACATTCCCGCATGCATCCTCTCCATCTTCCCTCATGGTGTTCCTAAGGAATCCTAGGGGCTCACAGAGCAGAGTCTATTTAGGAAGGCAGATTTCTAAGTGTTCTGGAGACCCCGAAAGCAAATAGGACTCCATATGCCAAAATAAAACATAAATATGTCACTTGTACAATGAACATCAGTGGTCGGTGGACTTGGTTGAAAAGATGTGCGCAGGAGTCTTAGCTCCCTTTACCAAATAGGAGACTTTGGGGACATGACTTAAATCCCCTGAGGCTCAGTTCTGTCATGTGTGAAGCAGGGACAGTAATGCTTCCTGCTCTTTGAACCTCAGATTTGTTCTAAGGATCAAATGAGATAATGTAGAGGGATGTGCTATATAGGGCTTTGTAGGCATTAGTAGTTGTCACTCATTACAAACAGGAGACAAATCCTGACCTGTGGGCCTGCTCCTCATCTGTGAGACAGGAGACTGGATGAAATCAATGACTCTCAACTGTGGCTGCATATTAGAATCACCTCTGGAAATTTGTTAAGTTTTTCATTTTAATGCTTGGGTCCCACCTTAAATGAGTTTAATCAGAATCTCTGATGTGATCCCTTTTAAAAAGCACACCAGGGGCACCTGGGTGCCTCAGTCATTAAGCGTCTGCCTTCCGCTCAGGTCATGGTCCCAGGGTCCTGGGATCGAGCCCCGCATCGGACTCCCTGCTCCGCGGGGAGCCTGCTTCTCCCTCTCCCACTCCCCCTGCTTGTGTTCCCTCTC